GGGGCCGGGGCCGAGGCCGAGCAGCCCGCCCTGACTTCCCGCCGCCCCGCCGCAGCGCCTCACCAAGCACACCAAGTTCGTGCGCGACATGATCCGCGAGGTGTGCGGCTTCGCCCCCTACGAGCGGCGCGCCATGGAGCTGCTCAAGGTGTCCAAGGACAAGCGCGCGCTCAAGTTCATCAAGAAGCGGGTGGGCACGCACATCCGCGCCAAGAGGAAGCGCGAGGAGCTGAGCAACGTGCTGGCCGCCATGCGCAAGGGGGCCGCCAAGGATGCTCTGTCCTCCGTCCGCGCCGCCCACCTCCCTCCCGGCCCCAGCAGCACGCAGGCCCGTCTGCAAATGGGTTTAATCACAATTAAATAGTTCGGTGCCAGTCTCAGTGATTCAGGGGTGGGCGACCCGCGACCCCGGCGCTCCCGTGGCTCCTGCCAGGCGGGGTCCCCTACAGTCCGGCCCGGCCGCCGCCATCACCGCTCCACGGCCAGGGCCTGTGCGCGCTCGTCGGGGAAGGCGATGTGGAAGATGTCGCCGTAGTGGTCCACGAAGTGCACCTCCAAGCCCTCGGTGATGAAGGCCGCCAGGTCGTAGAAGTCCTTCTTGTTCTCGGCCGGCAGCACGATGCAGGTCACGCCCGCTCGCTTGGCCTGCGGGGTAGGCCACGGCTCAGGGTGTCCCGGCGGCAGTGGGGGTGCAGGAGCACCAGCTGGAGGTTCCACACCCGAGGGGGCACCTGTGAGCTCCCCCCAGCTGCCCCTTTTCTACGGAAGCCTCACCAGGTGTGGGCCATATCCCAGGCAGGTTCCCCTGGGGCTGGCGCTCAGCATGGACTCAGCTATGTGGGAAGCCCCTGTGCTGCCCCTGAGGGCGTTGAGGCTGGAGAGGGATCCCCTTCCCACTGCCCCACCTGTCAGAGGCCTGGACATGGCAACGGGGCGGAGGGGACGGACACGGAACCCGCTTACCGCGATGGTCTTTTCCTTGATGCCCCCGACGGGCAGGACCTTGCCCGTGAGAGAGACCTCCCCAGTCATGGCCAAGTTCTGCCGCACGGGCTGGCCCATGGCCAGGGAGAGCAGGGCTGTGACGATGGTGCAGCCGGCGCTGGGGCCGTCCTTGGGGGTAGCGCCCTGTGTGGATGTGGGGGTCAGTGGGCAGGCAGCCCTGGGCCGGGGTGGAGAGCAGCTGGCCCCCTGAGGGACTGTGGGGGACCAGGGGCACAGGGTCGCGGCCACACCTCTGGCACATGCAGGTGGATGTGCGAGGACACCAGGAACTCGTTGCTGGGCTCGTGCTGCATCAGGAAGGCCCTGGCGAAGGTGTAGGCGATGCGGGCGCTCTCCTTCATCACGTCCCCCAGCTGGCCTGTCACCTCCAGGCTGCCATCCTTGTCCCCCTTAGGGTCCTTGTCCCGGGGCCGCCTCAGGGACGTCTCCACGAACATCGTGGAACCTCCTGGGAGGCGAGGTGGGGCCTGTGAACCTGGGGTGGCCTGCACAGCCTGCTCGCGGGCCTCCCCGCTCCTCTGCATGACATCCACGTGTGACCCAGTCCCACCACTTGAGCCCTGCCACCCCTGGCAGCAGATTCATGGAGGGACAGCTTCAGACCTGCCCGAGCACATGGCTTCCCAGCTGCAGCCAGCCCCACCAAGCTGTCACCCACCAGGCCACCTTCCAGCTGGGAGGGGGGCTGTCACAACCACTACTAACAGCAGGGGACCGGGACAGCCCTGGGAGGGTGACACCAAAGTCCTGGCGGAGACCCCCCTGAGCCCCCACGCACTGCCTCAGCGCTCACCCATGGCGGTCCAGGCCAGGCCCATGACCACGCCAGGCGGTGTCACGTCATACATGCGCTCCACCGTGAACACGGGCTTCCCGACAAAGTCCTGCAGGTTCTCAGCCGTCACCTCCACGGCCTCGGCCTCACCGCTGACAATCTTGTAGGCCGACTTGCGCAGCACCTGGGGCAGGTGGCAGCAGGTTGAGCGGGGCAGGAGCAGGAGGCCAGGCGGGCAGGGGCGGGCAGGGGCGGGGCAGGGTGGGGCGCATGCTCACCTTCTCCACCTGCTTCTGCAGGTTGCGCACGCCGCTCTCCCGGCAGTACTGCTTGATGAGCAGCCTGAGCACGTC